GTTTACCAGTTGATTATCGTCCTTGTCGGCTGTCTCCGCTGTTTGTCCTCCTCTGCTCCTGTTTGTGACGTCGACGGTTCGTGGTTGTCTTGCTCGGATGTCCTGCGCCGTCCTCTCTTCTCCTGGATACTGCAGATTGGAAACCATCCATTGTTCGTCAGTTTCTCTTTGGCACTGTGCTGTGGTTTGTTCTTTAGTAAGGAAGGAAAACCTGCAAGATAATTTTAGTGACGTTAAAATAGCTAAACAGTTTGTAACTTCTTTATTCGTTATCCTTAATTATTGCAATTGCTAGATAGGAAATCAGTTCTTATTACCAATAGAAAATGTAGTTTAGGAAGTCTTTTAAACAGTCGATTAATAACTTTAAGGATTCTCTTCATAGCCCCTATATCTATCTAAATCCCTCACATTTTCACCTCTCATCTGAACCCAATTTGAATGCAGCGCAAACCCGCATGACATCTCATATATGGTATCCTCATTTAAAGGCCTTCATCCTTTTGCCTCTGATGTTTGCCAATTTGGTCAGAATTGTGCAGCTGACCAAATGAAAATTCCCGAGCTACGCTTTCCCCTGTTTAACCCCCTGGTAATTCCCATAGCCGTGATTTGCAAACACATTAAATATGCCAGTGAGTGTGGAAAGAGGATACCAACTCCCCATAAATTCCAGAACCCATTTCCCCCCTTTAATCCTCATTTGTTTGGTGGGCAGTCAGGGATTAAGGATTCCCCAGGACGAAGGATTAAAGGGGTGGCAAAGGAGCACTTCCATTCATAACTGTTTTAATATTTGCATTTTTGCAGTGAGTGTTGGAATGCTCGGAGCCAAGTTCCATGTCGAAGTGAATTTGGGATATCAATAATTTATTCATATGTGAGAGTGCAGGGGAAATGGGAGATAGTGGAACCCCACTGCGCTGCCTTTTCATTAACAATACACCAGTGAGGAGGGACAACAACTGGGCACGCCCCCAATTTGTGCAGTAGGCGCAATATCCTTCCGGTTTCGAGGTTGGCCAATTGAACCGGAAGTGCAATTCTGGGGGGAAAGGAGAAAGCCATTGGAGAGGGGAAAATTGCGGTTGAGCAGCGATTAAAGCGCCTGAAATGCAATCGGGTGTTAATCCCACGCTCATAATGGGAGATAATTAATTAGAGGAGTGGGTCAATTAAGGAGGTGTATCCACAGTTCGATGTACACCCCTCAACCCACAGTTAATACTTGCCTTGGCCTACAATGAAAATATAAAGCAAACTTTATTCGCTCCTCGAATAGTTTCCATCCCATTTCCCTTTACCATTCGCTCTCGAGGATCTGAAACCTCCAAGCAGGTCAAGTGAAATGCGCTCCATAAACTTTTCTCCTTTCCCACTTTCCCACTTTTCTTTCTCCTTACACACAACACATCAAACAGGGAACACACAAAGGAGCTCCAAGTCAAGAGAAAGTGGAACTTGCGACCTGATTTCTGGGTTTCTTCTTGTTGGACACGTTCCGATGCAGATGTATGTGTCTACGGATTTATGCCACACCCCTAGGCCTTCTAAAATTTATGCAGAATATGCCAGCATTATTGCTATGAAATTTTTGGATAAATGTTGCCAATTAAGGGAAAGCTTGACAGGAAACGGATTTCCCAGGAAACACAGAAAGTGGAAAGAGGGGCAGAGGAGGTCTCACATATCGATTCTGATTCGGATTCGGACTCGGACTGTGGACGATGTTGGTCTGCCATGGGGATTTGGCCTTAAATGCTCCTCATTTATTTTAACACCCAGAGAGAGTCGAAAGCCCAAAGCTCAAATGTAATATGAGTACAGTGAGAAAAATACCATGTACTATCTTTCATCTCTGAAGGGAATACGATTACCAAAAAAATATATAATAGTCTTCTTTACATAAAATAATTTATTTGAAATACTTTAAAATATATGCATTTTCTTTCTGTGTATAGGAGGTGTTCCGCTGGATATTTTTCCTTCTCTGAGCCACCGCCTGCGGCGTAAATATCTGATTAGGCTTCAGCCCACAAAGCTCCTTCCCATTTTCCCTAGCAATTTTTCCTTTTCTAGGGAACCAAACAAAGGCCACAAGGAAAATGCTGAAAATAATCTTGGGCAACATCTGGAGGAAAAGCGAGGGAAAACAGGAGAAGACTGCTCCCTTTACGATTGAGGGCAAGGTTAAGCATTCGGCAGTAAAATGGCAACTTATTGTTTGGAATTGCTGGGAATATAAGGGAAAGGTAGCTACAGCTTTATTCTCGAGGTTTTCCTTTGGAAAATTTAGTCGGGAGAGGGGGCAAACTGCTGTTTTCAGGAAATATTGAAAACGTTTGACCAATCACATAGATTATTCTGGCTATAACCTGGACAATTAGTTGCCTTATTGATATTTGTGGCTTGCCGTTGGGTCAGCAGAGTCTTCTCCAATTTGTCCTTTTAGTATTGCTCCTTTCAAAAGGAACCACTTGACCTGGTCCTGTTTTCAGCATCCTCATGAACTGCTGCGGTTGATGTGGTTATCCTGGCACTCGACTCCCATTCTGGACACTCCACTTCAGTTGTGCTCCCTGTAATTGTCCTTGTCTGCGTCAGTTATCCTTTGTCCTGGTTTGTTGCATCTTTGTGTGGTTTTCTAATAACTGATGGACATAATTTGCTCATTTCATGGAAGCATTTTCTACATGTGGTTGTTATATCGAAGAGAATAATTAAATTTGGTTAGTTGGAGCAGATAATTAGAAGATCTTGTGACTGCAAATTTATATTAACCTTAGCTGGGCAATATTAATTGAGTTATTGAGGAATTATTAGGCTTTCATTCGCCAAAATTATTAGCAATTGATTTCAACAGTAAGTAAACAATCTGAGCTAGTGTTGAATAGCTAAAATTACAAATGAGTTCAGCAGAGCAATCAGGCGGGGCTTATTAAGAAATTCATTCGGACTTGGGTTTATTTTCTCAAAATCCGATATGTTTCTGCTTGCATGGTTTAAATCATTTAAATCGCATTATTCGCAATCTGTTTGAACAGGCTGAAGAGGAGCTGAAATCCTTCCAAACGAATGCACAAAATGTATCCTCTTGTGCCCAACAAAGCATCCGTTTGGCAAATTTATATCTATAAATTTTTTTGTTTGCTGATCCCATTCCTCCCCATTCAACCATAAATAACATAATTCACATAAATATATATATATATATACATATACTTTTTGGGAAATTTCAACAATTGAAGCTTTGAATGCATTTTATGTTCTAGTTGGCCGTTTCCATTTTCATTTTCCGCCTTCCAATTCGATTATCCCTGAATTTGCTTTTTTTTCATCCGGATGTTTGTCTACCTTCTGACGTGCGTTAAATTCTACGGTTTTCCTGCTCCGCTGGCGAAACATTTAAATTTGAATTCATTGAGGTGCAATAAATAAACTCGGCACATAAATCATTTTAGCAGCAACTTAAGCATGGTAAATGGAATTTATCCAGCTATCTTATGTTTCTCAGTTTCACACGCAAAATGAAAATAAGGCAGAGAATATAAATGGCATGTTGAAGCTCTGAATACACTACTGTTTTCAGAGTTGTCTGAGATATTTTATTATCATACTATTTTTAATGATTGTGTCCACTCAATCTGATAAACAAAATAAAATTTACTTACCATAGATATATTATGTGATAAACATTTAAAAAAATTATTTTAGTTTTTTAAAAAGATCTTAAATATAGTAATAAATTTTATAGCTAATGTTTTTTATCTATACCTTATTTAATTTTACAAAGACACCACCGGACTAATTGACTAACTAAGCAGATTCTGCTGCTGTGTTTCAAATTTGATGGTCCTCCATAAAACATATTTAACTTCCCCTTGGCCGACGCCAAAGGATTCGAAGGACGCCCTGAAACGAGTGTATATAAATTTCGTTTGGCTAAGGACGCCTTGGGGAGAGATTCAAGACGATTGCCGAGACGGTTTAGAGACCAAGACTAATTGGCTAAAAACAATAAAACTGAACTCCTTTAAAACGGAGCCAACATTTCCGTCTCTTTCTGCAAAAAACCTTCCTGTCTCCGTTTCTCCTAAAGTTTTTCACCAAATGTTTGCCAGTCCATTTAAAAATCCGTGCTGCGTTTGCTGCTCTATGTGCCCAGGGGATTTTCCCCGAACAGGACAAGGCAAATATTGAAACTATAAAGCGTTCGCTTTTTGCTCTCTCTTCCTTTCTTTATCGCACCCCTCTATCTGTCTCTTTCACCAGCTGTACATATATGTGTGCTTGGTAAATCTGCCATAATCCTAAAAAAGTTTTTGCTGGTGAGTGGGTTAAAAGTAAGAGCAAACTGCCAGTACGAGAGTACATGGTACATAAGCGGCTTATGCCATTAGTTCGGAATCGCAGTGGTCCACCTGCAAACCATCCTATGTATAGTATATCCCTCAAAAGTTCCCCCGCAGGTGCTCCATTGGCATCTGCCAACTCATGCGGTAAACTTTTAAAGACTCGCCACCGGCGGCAGAGGCCACTAATTGGTAGAAGTTCGACGTGCAAAATCAAAAGTTATAACTCACAGATAATTGGTGGGGTATGATGCTGTCAGGACCAGAAGATATTGAGGGCAGTTTTCAGTTTACGATGGGCGAAGAAAAATCAACTCGGGATTAGTTTGGATGGAGTGGAAAGATTTGGGGGTCCTTTTTGGCCTCTAAAGTTTGCATAAGGTTTGAAAGTTTTCTTATAAGCATTTAACAATAATTGTCGATATGGTAACGTACTTTTATTTCTAAAGCAGAGCTTTAATATTTACTTTAAACTTTTTACGTCAATAAAAAAAGAATATCATTTCACACTTTGTAAATGAACTATAATTGTTAAATTTAATATTTTAGCGAAAAATATTGCAATTAAATATGAATACTTTGGACTTACCATGTTTTATTAAACCCATTTCATACCAAAAAAATAGCTCATGAAATTTATCACACGTTTATTCATGTTTTTTCTTCGTTAAAATAAATTGAAAAACCTATATTGCACAGTGGCAAAATGGTTCCAGTAAGGGATTCTCGATGCAGTCGTTGTTCTTGTTGCCATCATCGCCAACTCGAACCACTTCCCCCACGAGGAAAAGTTTTTTGCCCTGCCTGCGGGTGATTCCCTCGAAATAGGCCTTTCCCGGCTTGGTCTTCAATCGCACCACGATGTCCCTGTCCTCATATTTTCTCTTCTCCCAATAGGGACCTTGCTCGGGATAAGAGTTCTTGTGTCCCTTCTCGATGTAGTATTCATTATCCCTCTGGGGAGCAGCGAAATAGGCACTTTCAATTGAATCCAATTCCAGGGGAATACAAACGGGATACTCCGCCATCAACTGGTTGACATAATCAATGATAATGCTGGCGGCTTTTTTTACAACTCGATTACTCTCGGGAATGGAAACTTGCTTGTGACACAGACAGAATTCACTGGGTATATGCGAAGTGTTACAGGTCCTCCAGGGTGGAATGGGAAGAAAAAGGCTGACGGCCCTTGGGGTTTCCGAACCCTTGAGTTTCCACAATTCCTCAGTCTTCTGGGCAATGGGCTTGTCATTCAGAGATTTCAGATCCAAGATATGTTTCAAGGTCGCGTGAAGATCATAGGTGGTTATCAGACTGTGGGCATTGCCAGCTAGGTTCCTAATGGCCGTGGGGTACTTCTTCCTCATCCAATCGGGATAAAGAACAGACAAAAAGGGCTGGCAGTCTTCAATCATTCCCTGAAAGCTTCTGCGAAAACGACCCCATCGCAAGCCATGATCCGACATGAACAGTATGATGGTGTTATTGGTAATACCGGCGTCATCGAGGCTCCTCAATAGCCTCTCAAATCTTCCATCCGCAAGACGGGGAGAATTGAAGAACTCATGAAAGCCATTGGCCCACCAGTAGAATGAGAAGAAGGGATAGCGCTGTTTGTGGGGCAGCAGACGGTCGTTCATCTCCAAAAGGACATCCATGAAGGTCCTTTCTCCAACGCAATGGGTGTCTGCCACCGAACTGGACTGCCTTAGGATATACATATCCACCATGAACTCGTGCAAATTGTTATCCGTGGTGGGGCGCTTAAAGCCTGGCTTGCCATAATAAAACATCGAATATATGGCCATATCCTCGGCAAAACTGGTATTATAGCCGGCCTTCTTGTACTCCTTCCAAATCAGTGGTAAATTATCCATATAATTCTGTCTGAGCCAAAACTCCTGCGACTCTGCGGCACTGAGACCCGTGAGTAAAGCTATCAAATTCGGAAAGGTATTGGTACCGATCTTGTTGAAGCCCCAAAACTCCACATGCGACATATTCTGGTGCATATATCGCACCGTCTTTGGCATTTGGCGAAGCAAATTGAGGTGCGATACGGAATCCAGGCCCAAGATCATCACGGAAGTGGGTGGTGTCTCCTTATTTGAATACTTCTCCTCATTCCAGTACTTTAAAGTCGGTGGAGCTTTCTTAAGCAACTTTTCGGGTGGCGGTTGAATGAAGAAATGAGCATCCTCATACAATGATTTGTTTGTAAAAGTATTAATGCACCTGACTCGCAAATGCCTCACACCTTTGGGAACTTTCAGGGCATATGGAAACTCCAGCGGGAACTGAGTTCGATGTGAAAGCCTGGCCTTCCAACGTGACACTACGTCCATATGGAACCAAAAGCACTTTATCTGCCAGTCGTGAGTTAGATCGTTTTCCTCCAGAATCTTATCGATGTCGCGGATCAACTTCAGGTACCACTCCCCGTTGGCCACCTCTGTTCGAAACCAAGTCTGATATGGGCAATCCAGGTAGAATCGCTTGTCCTTCCACTCCCAATCGGTGTATTTGGCGATTGTAGGGTTCATCACATCCATGGCTATAATACGACATCCATCTGTGTTCACGAAGAATGCATTGTGTATCTTTCCGCCAGCCTCGTATATCTGTGTGTCCATAAAGAGCACAGTGTAGAGGATCAGGGCCGTCAGGATCACACCCAGACCCAATTTGCGAAAGTTCCTTTCGCCCATGATTACATCAAAAATAGATCTCAAAATGTAGAGAGAAATGATTAAATTTTTGAAAATAAATGAATGAGACAAGAAAGTCAAGGCTAACAACGATTCAATAAATCCATTTAAGGTACGACCTATTATTACATTTACACGTCCGCCTTATTTCCAAGTGAAAAGCTATCCATAGACCAGACCAAAATAACGCCCTTGGGTTATATTTCACTCGACGTTATTACATGTACCCAATGTATTATTATTATAAAAAGTTCGACTATAATGTAAGTACCCAATGTAATCGAATACCGATACATACATATGTGATGTTGTTATTGCTCTTGTTTTATCCCCTTGCATACTGATCATAGTGGTTTTCTTTAAACAAAACTAGTGAATCTAGTTCTATTCTTATATTTAGAATTAAAGTTTATTTTTTATGAGATCTGACTTTTGGCAAAGTTGCGAAGTGAACTTCCCATGAGGGGCCGCAATATTTGCCGTCAAATAAATTCCCAACTCTCGCATCCACATCCACATCCACATCCAGCTGGTGGCTAACCAGGTGCCAACAGCCGTTTCGTTTGGTTCCACTGCAGTTGCTAAAGTCAGAAAAGAAATGCGACAGCTGCAAGTCATCAACTCGACAGCGCCAAGAGAATTCGCAACAAAGTGCCAAAAGAGCTTTTGCGTGGAAAAGTGGGGGAAAAATACGGGGGTTCTGCACTTCTGTCTCATATTTTTGTCATTTTCCCCGGCGCCATTTTGTTGGCTAGCAATTTAATTTCATATTTTATGCAGTCAAAATCCTCGCTGAGCATGCGACAAAAAAGGTTTTGGTCTTCTTGGTCCTTTGGTCCTGTTCCTAAATTTTGATCTTGCTCCTTGCCAAACTGCTGCAGTCCCAAGGGATTAGGGGAATGGGACTGGCGGAGGGTTAAGGTTCAGGGAGCTGACTTGCCTGGGGTCATAATGGAGTCAGACCTGATGGCGTCCAATACCAATATTTTTTTGCCCTTTTGATCCCAAATGAATTATAAGCCACCACGACAATGTTTCTTTTTAAATAAAAAAGTCAAATTTATAAAGTTTTCAATATTGCATGTCCCAATGTAAGTCTCCTGAAGTCAAAAATATTATTAATATTTGATAGAAACCAATTTAAACTTGATCCAAAATTTCTTAACTCTTTTCATTTCAAATCTACGTAGAGAGATAAGGCAGATTACCTTATAGATTTTTTTCGCTTTAATTAATAAAAATTGTGACACAATTCCCTGATAACATCAAAATAAATCGTTAAGTTCACGAGTATGATTCATCAATGTTTTTTGATTTCATTTAATGTTTTCTTTTAATTTCTTATCTCCTGATTTTGAATTCGTAAAAATGGAACATTGCGATAAGCAAATAAATTCGTAATAGTTTTAAATGAAATTCAAATATGAAAACAACCATAACACAAAATATACTAATAGAATTAAAAACGCTTTGTTTACTCTTTCCTGGGTTCAAATTAATAACTCATTAATAAAATGTAATACAATTGGGATGGTGCACGTACGAAAGCATACAGAAACAAGAGCCGATCCATCTTAAATAGAATTTAATCTATTCCGGCTTTTTTGAGTTTAGCAATTCCCATGCGGGAACCTGGACGTATGGTGTAAAGTCATAGGTGATGATCTTGGGGGCCAGAAATCCGCCATATCCATCTCGGCTTTTGTAGTAAATTCCGATTCCGGAGAGCGGAACCATTGGTTCAGAAACAACTTCCTGGATGTCAATATAGGGCACAGTGGTCTGGGCAGCATCCTGGTCAAAGCCAGTGTTGGTAAATTCGATATACTGGTTGTCACTCGGGTAAGGTATCGAGGGGACAGACGATCGCGTAGGCACTTGGGCGTCCTTTATGGATATCTTCTCCCTAAAATACGTAGGAGCAGAACTCAGGTAATACATTTTTTTATGTTACTTATTATAAAAACTGACCTTGGTTCATCGTTGCTCCCGGATAGCCAAAAGCTCGTTGTATTCGGCTCGATGAGCTTTCCGTTTTCAAAATCGACTCTGCTGAATTGGGCCTCCAGTTGAAGATGGGTTCCGACCACTTGGAACCGCAGCCCGGTAACCACAGAGTTGTTGTTCGCTTCCACTTTGCCAAGATTTATGGATCTCTTCTCAAAGGACAACATGTGGAAGTCAACGTTTTGCTTCACATCCTCATCGGATATGGTGTACGTATCCACGGGTTTCCACTGAAGAGTGGACTCATTAATGACTCCAAGGGGCAGGAGCTCGCCCTCCTGAATCTGCAGGTGAAAAATGCGATTGCTCTTAACAAATCGAAGGCCCGTCACGACTCTGGAAGACATGGTTTCGATTGTTATTAATAATGTTTCTTCTTTGGACTAGGTGAAATACCTGTTGTTGTCCACATCAGCGATCACAGGTCGTAGGTTAAAGAATCGATCCGACTTGGGGCTTTGATCATCGCACAGGCAAACACAGTAGCTGCATTCCTGAAAAATCCACCGGTTCCAACTTTTGGCACGGTTTAACCATGTGTCACATGATCCTTTCTGTCCATGAACAAGTCCACTTTCATACCGGATGAACTCGTACCGTCTGTTGGAGTTCTTATCCGCCTGGCAAATCTGCATATCTGATTCTACAAAGCGACATTCGTGTACCCCACCGCCGCATTTTGGCTGCTCAGAACAGAACTTATTGTCGAAACACCCCTCACTTCTGGAGGATGTGTAGTAGCCACAGTCACGACGGCAGGTTCCGTCGCTGTTCAGGTCCACCTCGTTCTCCACGTAACCCTGCAGCAGGCGGGTGACCTCCTCGTAGGTGACCCCGGCCTTGTGTTCCCTTGGGTCGCACCGCCAAACGGAGCGATCTGCTTGGCTCATCAAGTCCTTGATCCTTGGAAGAGTTCCGGGTGTCCTTCGCTGGTAAGCTTCCCGAGATGCTTTCTCCTCCTCGATGGATCCACCCTTTCCGAACTTCCTGAGCAACATCCAGGACCACTCTACCAAGGCGTGGGCCTTCAGTTCGAGAAGAATGTAGTCCACATAAAACGTGTAAAGAAATTGCTGAGGAGACTGTGGCGTTTTGCAAGTAAAGAGCTGTAACTGCTAATACGGTTTTTTTCTGAATAAAAATGTTTTTTATTTTAGGGGAAAGTATTTGATTACCTGGTTACCCCTGGCCAGTTGACCCATCAGGTCATCTTTTCCGAAGAGTTTCAGCTTAATCTTTTCCATAGCATGGAGATTCTTGTCTTCTTTGGTAGAAACCTGAACCTCAGCCATATTTATTTGTGTTATATTCTCAAACCTATCCATCTCGAACTTTTTTAAATATGGGTAATGACGTGATATCCTTTGTATAGTTATATAGATATCTATCATATCTCTTACGCATGGAATACTTTCATTTACATAGTCATTTGAACCTATGGCGAAGGCAGCGACATGTCTGTGCTGAGGTTTATTGGAAATGATTGAGGTGAACCAAATCTTAAAGAAAAACTGACTTACCTGGACAACATTTAGGTGCTCCAATCTATCGATTTGCTTAAAAGTTTCTGACAAATGCAACATTTCTTTGTCATCCATAAAATTATAATTTTTGTTGGCTTCTGTTTGATTTAGAAAGGCCAATAGCATGGACAAATACAAAATATTTCCAGATTTCATTTTTTTTTGTACGGTATAAATTGGGCAACGTTGAATGATTTGAAGGCAAATAATAAATAACAATTTTTTTGTGGTGACTCCCCAATAAATTGATAAGAACTCAAGCTTTCCGACCGATCCGATCCGTTGTTTTGAATTTAATGAGCAGCTTCCAGTTGTACGACTGCTCTTTGTATCAGTTGAGATTCTTATCTGACCAATTCGGCTTTTTTCCCATTAATGTGCGAATTTGTTTCATTTGCTTATGTAATGGAACACGACAGAATAAAATACCGATTCTGAAAATTTCAAATCATGTTATCTAGTACCTACCCAACTGAGTGCCAGTGATGCCTTATTATAAGTTATTACCTAGCCATCGAAGTACAAAAGGTACCAGAATTTGAATTTTGTATTTTAAAAAGAAAATACACCTGATGTGAAACTATTCCGGGCTCTTATAGGTCAGAGACTTCCACGTGGGCACCTGGACGTGTGGTGTAAAATCATAGGTGATAATGTTGGGAGCCAAAAATCCAGCATAGCCATCACTGCCTTTAAAGTAAACTCCAATTCCGGAGAGTGGAACCACCGGTTCAGAAACCACTTCCTGGATGTCGATATAGGGCACAGTGCTCTGGGCAGCATCCTGGTCAAATCCTGTGTTGGTAAATTCGATATACTGGTTGTCACTCGGGTAAGGTGTTGAAGAGTCAGAGGATCGCGTGGGCACTTGGGCGTCCTTTAGGGATATCTTCTTCCTAAGATAAGTAAGGAAAAGAACTCAGGTAATACTTTTATTTTTAAGTTACATATTATGAAAACTGACCTTGGTTCATCATTGCCCCCGGATAGCCAAAAGCTCGCTGTCTTCGGCTCGATGAGCTTTCCGTTTTCAAAATCGACTCTGCTGAATCGGGCCTCCAGTTGAAGATGGGTTCCGACCACTTGGAACCGCAGCCCGGTAACCACAGAGTTGTTCTTCGCCTCCACTTTGCCTAGACTTATGGATCTCTTTTCATAGGTCAACACGTGAAAGTCAACGTTTATCTTCACGTCCTCATCGGATATGGTGTAGGTATCCACCGGTTTCCACTGAAGAGTGGACTCATTAATGACTCCAAGGGGCAGGAGCTCGCCCTCCTGAATCTGCAGGTGAAAAATGCGATTCCTCTTAACAAATCGAAGTCCCGTCACGATTCTGTAAGATATGTTTTCGGATATTTGTTGTAGGAAAATTGACAGAGTACAAACCTGTTCTTCTTCACATCGGCGATCACAGGTCGTAGGTTAAAGAACCGATCCGACTTGGGGCTTTGATCATCGCACAGGCAAACACAATAGCTGCATTCTTGAAAAATCCATCGATTCCAACTCTTGACACGGTTTAGCCACGTGTAACACGATCCTTTCTGCCCATGAACAAGTCCACTTTCATACTGGATGAACTCGTATCGTCTGTTGGAGTTATTATCCGCCTGACAAATCTGCATATCTGATTCCACATAACGACAGTCGTACACTCCCCCAGCGCATTTTGGTTGCTCCGAACAGAACTTGTTGTCGAAACACCCCTCACTTCTGGAGGATGTGTAGTAGCCACAGTCACGGCGGCAGGTTCCGTCGCTGTTCAGGTCCACCTCGTTCTCCACATAACCCTGCAGCAGGCGGGTGACCTCCTCGTAGGTGACCCCGGCCTTGTGTTCCCTTGGGTCGCACCGCCAAACGGAGCGATCTGCTTGGCTCATCAAGTCCTTGATCTTTGGAAGAGTTCCGGGTGTCCTTCGCTGGTAAGCTTCCCGAGTAGCTTTCTCCTCCTCGATGGATCCTCCCTTTCCGAACTTCCTGAGCAACATCCAGGACCACTCTACCAATGCGTGGGCCTTCAGTTCGAGTAGAATGTAGTCCACATATAGCGTGTAAAGAAACTGCTGTGGGGACTGAGGCGTTTCGCAAGTAGAGATGTACCACAGCTAAAAGGGTTTTATTCGTAATAGAAAGTGTTTTTTATTTCTAGGGAAATTATTTAGTTACCTGGTTACCTCTTGCCAGGTAGCCGATCAAATTATCCTTGAAGAGTTTGAGGTGAATGTTTTCCATCAATTGAAGATTCTCCTTGCGTCCGGTAGAAAGCTGTGCCTCAGCCAAATTTATTTGCGTATCATTTTCAAATTTCATCGTCTCGTACCGTCTCATATCCTCGTATAGTTCTGAAATCCAACCCTCTTTGTTATAGAAATCTGTAAGATAGCCGGAACGTAAAGCAAAGGCAGGTCCATGTCTATGCTGAGGTGTATTAAGTATTACTGCCGCGAACAGAATTAAAAGAAAGTGGTCTCACCTGAACTACATTCAGATTGTTCAATCTATCAATTTGCTTATAGATTTTTCTCAAATGCAACATTTCTTCTTCGTTCATAAAATTAAAATTTGGTTTGCATTGTGTGGGTTTCTGAAAGGTCAATAACATGACCAAAATCGAAATAAACCCTCGTTTCATGGCTGCTTTTTCTTTCAGGAATCGAGAACGAAGATAGTCAATCTCGGAATTTTTGTGTTTCTCCCAACAGTATGATTTTATAATCAAGCTTTTCGACTGATCCAATTTGATGTTTTGAATTGAATGAACGGCATCCGACTGTCGGCTGCTCTATACTTCAATTGAAATTCCTATCTGACCAAATAAGCTGCTGCCTATTAATGTGCCAAATTGTTATCATTTATAAACGTATTGGACCTTGTGCCTTATCAGCTATTCCATTAAAAAGCTCAAATTTACTGAAAGAGCAAGAAACAGCTGCTTATGAATGATAGCACTACACCGAAACAAAAATGTTGAATTAGTTAATATGGATTTCTAACCTTAAAAGAGTTTCAGTCAGAATTGCGTACCGTAACCATATCTTTAAAATTAAATTCTGAGCCAGAGGGTAAAAAACAGTTGCTTGTTTGTTGTTCTTTGAGTACTGAAAAATGTTGGTCAAAATGTAAGGTCGAACATCTGTTCTTGGCTTTTGCCCTTTTATAAGTGAATTATAAGCTAAACGAAATGCGAGTGGAATTCAGTTAAGATTCAGATGGACTGACTGACTGGGCCAAACTTTGAGCTGAAACTAATTTATCTGCAAATGGCCAGGGGGGAAATTTTCAAATTTCCATTATTTAATTCGGCCAGAGGCAAGAAATGTTAATAAACTTTTAGTTTATTTTGTGGCAGAGACTTGAAATAACTTATTGCCTTCTGATAAAGCACTCTATTAAGTTGCGAATCATGGAACCAAAAGTGCGACTGGTTAATGTTTCGACTCCCTTTCGATTTATTTAAATTAAGTACCCCAACAGGTCCCTAATGAGCACCACTGCGTATGAGCAATATTTGTCTAAATTATGCTCCTTATTTTTTGCACTTTCTCGCCCAAATTGCTTGCAGTCAATTTGTTCAAACGCTTGGCTGCTTCTCGGCCATCACGATAATGTTGATGATGATGGATTTATGTCTGCCATTTGTTTTAGCTTGCCGTAATTTTTTGTTTTAGCCATCTCCCATTTTTTTTCTACCGTTTTGACTTTGGCATTTGTTGGCTGTTGTGCGTCGGCTGTCATCGCCAGTAAAGCGAAAAGTGAAGAGTGAAATGTGAGATGGCTGCGAAAAAATGCCATAAATCAATTTTCACAATTCACAAATTGCCCCGGTACCAAAAAATTCGACAGGCCTTGCCAGCTGAGAATGTTTTTTCCCCAAGATTAATTGAAAGAACAGCAGCAAGGAAGTTGGCTGGGTAAAAGCTGCTTTAAGGTTGAATCAACAAAAGCTGGCAGGAAATTGAAGTAAATTGCTAAGTTAAGTGCGGGATAAGCTGTAATCGTAAAACATCTTCAGATCTCAAAGGTTAAAAGTCAGCGAACCAGGTGAAAGAATGAAAAATATTAAGCTTTTACAATATATAAGAAATTAAAAATAAATATTAAAGCTATTGAACTAAAATTTAAAATTAGATACTTTTATGAATAATATATATATTCGAACTGCAGGAAAAAACATTTCCCCATTTTAAAATTGTAAAAAATTATGAATCGTAGATATAAGAAAATAACATTCACTCATAATTAAAATAAGAAATCTGTTCAAATTGGGAGTATGGAAAAAATTGACTTTTCTTGAAATCCTCCATCATTCCGTTGACGACCGCTCTTGACATTTTATATATATATTTGACATACTCATAATGAAAACCGAAGCTGCGTAAAAATGCCACCAGTTAGGCTCTAATGCGGCTTTAAATATGGCAAAAATAGGGACCGCATTCAGGGCCAAAAACAACAGCAATCAGGACAGAGTGAGTCGAACTGAGCAGCGCCGCCAAGAACATAAAAAGCCAAATTAGCCATGTTTCACATCAAAGTGCGCATTAAATCCGAGACGATAATCACACACATGCCGCACGCACACACACATAGGCACATAGGGAAGACGTCGTCCTTTTGGCTCTTGGTATGCGTAAGGACATACAAAAAACATAATTAACCGCGACCTGACGACAACAACAACCACATCAGAACAACGTAAAAGCGTCGAGGACGACGTCGGCGACCTACAAAAAGCCGTCAGCCTAAGGGATCCAGAACAGACACTGGGAAAAATAACTCTAAGAAATTGGGAAAATATATTTTAATTAAATTTGCAGTAAATTAGGTTGTTTCTTATACAAAAACCAACTGCCTTTATATAAATTAGCTATTTTTATGAGCTAAAGTTCAAAATACAATTATGAAACCTACTGTTTCTTAAAAAATAATGTTTCCCAATATATTAAAAACATGAACAATAACTAAAAAAAATACATTTTAAAATATTTTAATATATATTTTTATAATGCAGTAAATAATATACTTTTCATGACTCAAATAAATTATAAAAATATAATTTAAATACACTTTTTAAATTATTAAATTATCCATTTTAAAAAGGGCGTTTAACTGGTAAGGTTTTTAAAAACTTAAATATCTATTTTCGTAATTTTCCTTAAAGGAAAATCTTTTTTAAAGAAGCCAAACTATAATAAATTTAAACATTTCAAGTTTCATAAGGAAAATTAAAAAATCTAATTATTCCTAATTTATTAATTTTATTAAGTTAGTTGTCCATGAATGGCTAATCACTCTCAAATAAAATTTGTTTTTAAATTTTTTAGAATATTAATACAACTAAGATTATTTTTCCAAGTGTAATCCCTTGCGCACTTGGCCAGCGTTTTCCGCCCTTTTCCCATTTCCCCCGTGGCATCAGGTTAATGTGACGAGCACAGCTGCTGCCTCTCGGTGTCGCTGGGGGGCGATGCCGGCGGAGCTCGAGCCGACATTTTTGCAAATTACACACTTTTGAATATAAAGTACTCGCATAACGCACCCGAGACAGCCAGTCTGTGGCCACTTTTAATGGGCCGAGCCAGAGAGTTTTGCCTGAAATTTATTTGCCAACTCCCGAACCGAACCCGAGGCTGCTGGGTCTCTCATAGTCTAGACATCGCCGGCAAAATGCCTTTGGGTCAACTCTTTAGATCGCAAATTGCATGTCCCCACTCCTCTAGTTCTGAATTGCAATTAAGCTTGATATATGAGACAAAACTGGTTCAGCTTTCGCTTCGTTTCGCTTTGTTTCGTGTCATTCTGGGTAACATGGATTTATGAATTCCAAAAAAGCCATTGGGCATTGGTATATGAGAGATGTGAGATGGCCTCCAATGCTGGCCCAGTCCAATGCCATTTGTAAATCAAATTTTGGCCAGGCAAAAACATCAAAATGTTTCCATACCCCTCAAAAAAAAAAAGAAGAAATTATTGCCAAAATGGTTGCATGACATTTGACTTGTCGCAATGCTCGTTGCCAAATTTAAGCCTCTTTCTACGGAAAATACGAGAAAATCTGGAAAATGTTGTTGCACACAGGGATCGGTGTGGAAATATGTATGGCACATACAAATTGAGTTAACGTGAGTGATATGTGGGAATTGCAAGTGGAATAGAATGTATTTTTAAAAATATATTTGTTTTGAGGGTTTTCAAAATTTAGTTATGGTTAAGAATTTAAAAGCTAGCTACTTTTATGATAGCCTGTTAAATTAGATAATAAAATAACAGTACAAAAATCATATGTTAACAAATTTATTTATTTTATTTATTAATATACTGTTTATAAATTTATTAAATTTTTAATTTTTTTTTATTTATATTAACCTTAGCCTTTTCTTGATTCAATTGTAAATTTTAAAATACAAAACTCAAACAATTCTTGAGTAATTAATTTTTGAAAACTCACCTAGCCTCTGAAAATTATAGTTACAATTTCTTCACTGGCAGTTTTATTCACTCACTTATCCATAATTGTCCATGAATGGCAAATCACTCCCGAATGCAATCAAATTAAATTAAGCCAAGTGCAGTTTAATCCTTTTACAAACACATTAAAATGTAGCCAGCAGCTGTTGAGCCACTGCCATTGTTCCCAGGAACAAAAAAAGAATAAAATAGAAGGGATTGGGAAGTGGAAAAGAAGAGATGGCAAAAGAATTAAAAAGAAAGCGAAGCATTTAATGATAATTACAGCGACCATTAGCAATTGTCTGGCGGCAATAATAACAAAGTGAACATAAAAACCAGACTGCGAAATGAGGTGGTGGAAAGGAATCGCAAATGCAGGGTCTAGATGGGCGGGATAAATCTGTGGGGGGGGGGGTTTGGGGCGGAATAAGTTGGAAAATCAAGGGACCAAAGCGTGACGCGCTTTTCAATTACCACGGCGCACCCGGCTCAATCTAATGAATTGTTAAATTATGTAATGAAGCGTGTACTTTAGATAAATGAAAACTAATTAAATTAACTCCCGCAAGCAGCGATTGGCAGAGAGCAAAGTCAACTTTTCGGCCAGAAAGAAGGAGCATCCTTTCCTTTTTTGGCCGGAATGCAATTGAAGCGAATTTAATTTGTGCTGTTTGCAAACATTTTAGTTTCGAAATTGGAAAACTAATTGTTTGCCACACTTGCACAAGCTTTTTGCCTGGGTAAATACCAAAAACCCAGATTCCTAGTAGTGTTTTCTGGCAATTAGGCACGTTCCATGGCATAAGCTCTTGTGGTTAATTGCCTTTCACCTCGAACACATCTCTTATGGGCACCCCCCCTCCCCATCTTTTTTTACCCTACCACCTGTTTTGGTCTATTCTGCATTTAATGAGTCATTCGATTCGATTTCGAATGGGTCACGTAAAACATTAAAATGAATGAATGACAGTGGCGGCGGGGGGAGGGTGTCTCAAGACCCCGAGAAAACAGGGGGTTCGAGCATCGTTTGCACATGACAACCAGATGGTAATAAATTTAGAGTTTGGCAAAAATTATGAAGGCAGCCATAAATGGCAAAGTCAAGGGGGCGTGGCTAACTTAAATTGGACAATGCACAAGTAATGAGAAAACGACATTAAAAAGAAGCCATAAAGGGGTTCCAGTAATATGTTTAATTATGGACTACAAATAAGGACTAAAATGCAGAGG